TGTTTTAATACATTAACACGCGATCTCCTATCGAAGCAGGACTGGCTTCTGCGTGCTGAGCTTCTCACCAGGATATTTCTCCCTTCAATCGCGGCCCTTCAGTGTGGATTGTGCCTCCAGAAGCTTTGGCTGAGCATGCAGCCTCTGTCTGGCTGTGGGCCCACGCTTACGCTCCGCAGCGGCGCCGTTATCAGCCGCGGGATTCCTCCTGTCCCCGTCACCCTTGGCACTGGTGCCGCATGCCCGCCGTTCTCTCACCTTCCATTGTCATGCCTCTCCCGGCCCGGTGTCCTGTTACTTCCCCGCTGCCTTGCAGGTTAGAGGTGTAGGAACTAAGTAGGGTAATGAGGAGTGGGCTTTGGGGTTGCTTGGCCCGTTCCCACCAGACCCCCGGAGCGCGGTTCCACTTGGTTGCAGAGGACGTGTCCCGTCGCGCTGTGTTAAATCAGCCCCCGGCCCCCTGGAAGCCGACCGCACCTATACTGGATGGCAGATGCAGAGGGGAGCTGAAATGTGAAGCTGTCTGCCCCCCCAAGCCGAATCGCCTCCCAGGCGGATGACCTTGACACGTGCGGGGCACGTGGGGGGAGGGGGGGGGCTGGTGACATCATGGCCCTAACAGTGTTGAGCTAGTGGCTGCTCACCCAGGTCGCTATGTAAACAAGATCGGATCGCTTAAGCCGCTAACGGTGGCAGCTTTAGTGTCAGAGCGGGCCGGGGCGTGGCTTCCTCACAGTGATGGCACAATGTGCTTGTTTTGGGGGGGGGGGGGGGCTTTGTGCCGCTGCTCGCCAAGGAGGCCTGTTATCACCAACAGTCCAATCAGGCAGCACCTCAGACAGCCTGCTGCTCTGCCAGAGAAAACTTCCAGCAAGTCGCCGCGGAGATGATGAAACCCTGTGCAAGCACCCCGCCTCGTTTGCCCAGCAATCTGCCCGCCTTGCTTCTCCCGTGGCCACTTGCGCCTCCTTGTCAGGGCTTCGCCCAGGCCCTCGACATGTGACTGTCCCTGACGCTCTCCTCAGTGCGGCTGGGTGTGGCACAGAGGGAACGTTTGCTGCCCCTCTCTCCCTCTCATTGTCAGGAGCCGAGCCCCTGGGAATAGCTTTCGAGCTCATTGACTTGGAGGTGTTACGTGCCATTAAAGCAGGTGTGCTGGCCATGATTGGCACCAGGAAAAGGCTCTGCAGAACTGCAGAAGCTGAAGCTGACGCACAAACTTCTGCATCCCCAGTGTCTCCATTCAGGTGTCCATCCTGTTCTGTTCACTCTCATGTTCTAACTGGTTTGTTTTCTACACGTCTGTAATCTGGAGTTTTCATGCTCTCTTCTCTGTTGTGACAGTTTCCTCTTGTCTCCGAAAGACATGCAGTTAGGCTAATTGGCATCTCTAAATGTGTGTGGGTGTGTCACTGCATGTTTGTGTTGTGGTCCAGGTATACCTTACTTTGTGAGGACTAGATGTCCCCACAATGTGATAAAACACTGTTATTTTGAAGTTGGGGTGACCATTTTTTTGGTCCCCACAAGGGGAAATTCAGTTTTATAAAAATCTGACTGCAATCAAAAAACTAAAAGTGTATTTTGTTTGGTTACTTATGGTTAAGGTGAGGACTAGGTAGGGGTTACGGTTGTCAAGTTGTGAATAAGGTTTTGCCCATAGAAAGAAATGTGTGTGTGCCCACGATGACCTAGCATCCTGTTCCGGGTGTCCCCCTGCTACCTGGAATAGGCTCCAGCCCCCCCTGGCACCCTTGCTCAGGTTACACAATAGGAAGATGATTAGGTGTCTGTAATGTTCAGATATCTTCTAGTCAGATGTGTTTCAGGCATGTTCCTGCACGGGGAGCAAGAAGGGCTTTTAAGGCTTACCGTCACCTTCTAGGTCTTTGAGAGTGCCAGCAGGGGGAGGCAGTCACTGTACGCGAATGAGGCAGACACCCCCAAGGCACGGAGAGGCCGTGTGTCTCTCCCCCCCAGCCAGCAGGATCCGGCTATGCCACATTACGCAGCTCTGATCCTGCCCTTTGCCATGATTCGATCCCTTAAGGTCCCGCACTCCCCAAAGCCTCTATTTTACCTGGGGCCCAGTTCAGATCCTGTTCCATCGTTCCCCGGAAGCCTGGTGTGGCATTTGCTTGCGGGAACGAGACGTTTGTAGGCCCAGCTCCTCTGCGTAGGCGTTACAGGTTTGGCTGCCAAGGCCAAAAAAAGTCGAGGGCCTTGTTTGTTTTGAAATCAGTCTCCGTGAAATCCCCAAACAGGCCTCGGGCAGCTGCAGCGCACGCCGGGTCTTTGCCAGACTCGCCCGAATGTACCTTTCCGCTGGGATTTCGCGGGGTTCCGATGAGCCTCCTGCTGAATATCCCAGAGAAGTGTGTCAGGCTGGCTGCATCGGGCCATGAGTGTCAGTCAGCTCTGCACTGGGGCTGCGCTTTTCCCACCGCGCGCAGGAAGCTGCTCTGTTGTCATGCACACCGCACTCTCGTTTAAAATGTGTGGCGTGAATCCTCCAGATCCGGCTCAAATTAATGAGGCATCTCTGCCACTAGGGGGCGAAAGGCCATCGTAAGAGGTGGAAGGGGGTAGCATTGCAGTGTTTGCTCGCCAAGGGTCTTGGCTGCGCTCCCAGGGACGCCCGTGTGAGTTCTGGGGAGCGGCGACGGCACGGTTGGGCTGGGCTCGGCGTGAGCGTAAAGCGGCCCCGATCTGTCACTGTGATTAATGTGGCCGCCGGTCCCTCTTCTTGCAGCCAGTGCTGTTAGGTAGTATAGCCTGTCTGCTAATGGCTGCGAATCGCCCCCAATATTCTGCCCCCTGCCTCTCTGCTTTTTTCCATTTCTTTTCTTGTTCTCTGGTGCCCTTTTTTGTTTGATATGCCTGTCTAGTATGGATTTTTTTTGTTGTTTTCAGCCCCCGCCCCCCCCCCCCCC